CTAGTAAATAAAAATAATGTAATAGAGGAGTTGTATTTGATTTAATTTCAAAACAAATTTTTTAATAATAATAATAATACTAATAAATTTGACCCTTTTTTTTTTAAATTTTCCTTGTTGTAAATAAAAATTGTTTATTTTTTTTTTTTGTAACTGGAATAAATTCGTGATAAAAATCGATAATCGATAATTAAACAAAAATTTTGGCGCCAATTAAAATTACATAAATCGTTTATTTCCTAAAATTAAAAAAAAATATAAAAAAATTTTTTTTTTTTTTTTTAAATAAATGGGTCCCCATTTTTTTAAAATCCAAAATAATCAAGCTCCTTTATTATCATTATCACTATCATCATCATCATCATCATTATGATTAATAATAATTTACGTGCATTACGTAATACATAAGTTAATCGATTGCTAACTCTACATTATTAATATTTTTTTTATGTAATAAAGTAATTAAAAATTTTAATAATGATAGTAATATTATTATTATGATTTCTATTACCAGGGCACGAGTTTACATTATCTATTAATTAATAATAAAAAGTTATTTAAATAAATTTTAATAATTAATAATTAATAAAATAAATAATTTTAATAAAAATTTATTAATTTTTTGCTGTTTTTTTTACATACGCGTCAGCGTTTCTCGCATAATTTTTAACATAAATATTTTTTTTTATTAGTATTATAAATCGTTTTTTTTTAAGTCATCGGCATTTTATTACGTAATAAATACGGAGCAATAAAAATTAAACAAAAATAATAATAATAATAATAATAATAATAATAATAATAATTACGAAACGTAAAAAAATAAATTGTGCGGAATTTGTACTTTTAGGTACAAATTCGTCGTCGTTTGTTTTTCTTTATTATTTATTTTATTTATATTAACTTTTCCATAACTGTCGGTTTTGTTTTTGACACGTTTAAGCATTAATAATAATAATAATAATAATAATAATAATAATAATAAATGAAAGAAAAAATTTGAGAAAAAAATAAAAAATAAGATCCGAGGTAAAAATATAGAGCGCAACGTGCAAAAAATAAAATATGTGTAAAATTACCCCACGCTTAAACGGTAAGTTTAACGTACGTAACAAACAAAATATTTACAAATAAAATCACGTGTTGTCGTTTTAATGTGAAATTGGTTTTAGTATAAAAAGTTGATGATGGTTTATCATGGCATCATTAACGTTATCTAAAATTAAATAGTAACATCGAAAAAAAATGATTTTTAAGGTTTTGGGTGTCGTTTGCTGTGTTTTCGGCGTCGTTTCCGGTTCTTGCGTTGAATTTGTCAGACCACAGGTATCGTATTTTAGGAAAACCCTTTATTTTTTATTCTTTCAAAAAGTTTTCTTTTTTTTTTTGTTTGCCTGTATTGTAAATGTTTTGTAAAATTTTCAGAAATGTTCATCGTCTGTTGTCACGACGGTTCCAGTTACAAAAACGGTTTATTCAAACGAACCTTGTTACTCTTCCTCCAGTTCGGAAGTCGTTTCCAACGGTCCTCAATACGTTTCTGGTCCTTCTTCGGCGGAAAATGTTTACCAACATGTTGCTAACGCTCCACCCATGCCATTTCCAGTAGTTTCTGAAAATTTTGTTAACGGTCCTGTATATAACGAAGATGTTTTCTCCTCCGGATCCACTTTCAGTCCTGCTCCTTCTGGAAATGAAAATTCTTATCAGAACGTAATCATGGGATCCGGAAGATATTTTGATCCAGAAACCGAATCATTGCCTGTTGTTCAAGCTCCATCTGTTACTCTTCCAACCGTCGAATCTCCAATGGTAACCGTTTCCGCTCCACCAGTTCCAAATCCAAAAGTCCTTGCTTCACGTTGTGTTTGCACTAAAACCATTATCAGACCTCAAGTTATTCAACGTGTCATCACCATTCCAAGAGTTCAACGTTACCTTAAGAGAACCGTCACTCCAGTCGTCGAAAATATCGTTTACAAAACCAGACCGGTTTCTCCATCCGGTTCATCAGGTTCGAATTCCTTTTCGAATTCTTTTTCGAATTCTTTTGGAGGCCCTGTCGTATTTTCTAGATCTTCTTCTTCTTCTTCTTCTCCCTCTTCTTCTTCGTCGATGGTCGTTTCCGAAACTCCAATCAGCAGAATTTGTTAATTATTATTCTTTTGATATGACATCACGTTTTTATTTGTTTTTATTGGGACTTATACGTTTTTAGTCGAGGAGTTAAGTGACGAAATCATTCGATGACGTCACACGTTTTAATTTTTAACGACAAAGCGTTTTTTTTTAATATTATTTATTGATACTCGTGCGTTATAATTTACGACATCATCATTACAAAAAAAAAAAAAAAATTCGCATTTCATAACATTTTTAAAATCATTATTATCATTTATCATGTAAAACAAAATATAAATTTATATTCATTTTTATTATTATAATTTTAATATATGCTAACCAAATAAATGTTTTTCTCTTTTTTAAACAATTCATAAAACCTTTTTTTTTTTTTTGTTTTAACCTTATCAAATTCATTCGAATGTATAACATCACACACTTTTGTGCGTGTGAATTATTATTATTATTATTATGGCGGAAACGCATTTTTTTTTTTTTTTTTGGTTTTTCCATCCAAATAATTAAAAAATGCTCGATTGTAACACTTAAACATTCAATTTATCGTAAATAATTCGTGAGAGTCCGATTGATTGAGGCGGGGGAGGGCGGGGAAGTGGGAGGCTTGGGAAGAGAGGAAGAAGGGAGAGAGGGCGGGGGAAGGGAGGGAGACAAGGGAAAAGCAAAACTTTTTTTTTTTATTACTCTTTTTCCAGATGTTATTTTCCAGCTTGTCAATAAAATAAATTTTCTATTAAAAAAATATTATCATTATTATTATTGTTATTTAATTTATATTATTGAAATATAAGAAAATAATAATAATAATAATAATAATAATAGTATTAAGTTATGGCGTAGTAATAAACATATAAAAATTAATTAAAAGAAGCGAGAAAAAGGAAAAAAAGCAAAAATTTAATCCGTTATTTATTACCGTACTGGATAATGATTATTATTATTATTATTATTATTATTATTATTATTTTAACGTCACACGTTTTGATTTAAAAAAGGCGGGAAAAAAAAGAATTTAAAAAAAAAAAAAAATTCAAAATGTAATAAAATAAACCCTGTTTAATAAATATCAATGACTATGAAATCTGACATATATTTCATTTGGCATTTAATGACGTCATTTATTTGTCGGTTGTTCGTATGAAAATTGTTAATAAATAAAATTATTGTTTGTAGTGAGGGAAATTTGTAGTGACAAAAAGAAAATTTTCTTTTTGTTTTCTTCTGTTTATCGTTTGCATCGTTAAATAATTTTAAATATTTCGCGTAAATATTTTTGCAAGATGATAATAATGATTCGATTGGTTTTTTTTTTTTTTTAAATATTGTGAAAATCGATAATAATGATAATTTTAATACATGATAATAATAATAATTTTTTTTTTGAATTTGCGAAATAAACTTATGCAATGGAAAAAATTTGATATAAGAACAATAAAATTTTGGATTGAAATTTTTTTAAATAAAATTTTTACTTCGACAAACGATTGTTGTTGTCTTTTTTTTCGGGGGGGAGGGGACGAGGGGGTAAAGGAGAGATGAAATTTAGAGAAAATAAAAAATTTTAAGTTTAGTTATTCTATACGTAATTATTATTTACGGGGTTTTTGTTTTTTTTTTTTTACCGCGATATCGATGACGTCAAAATTTTATCTGAAAATTGTAGTGTAAAATTTTTCATCTGTTGTTTTAGTTGTTTTTTATATAAAAACTTTTATGAACAACTTTTCAACAACAACAAACGTCACAACAAATTGCAATAATTAATAATTTCCTATCGTTTAAACATTTGATTGTTAATTTTATTTCATTCTAAAAAAAAAAAAATATCGATTCTAGCAATATCCGCTGTCGTTTGTGTGTACAAATTTAATCCTGTTTGCCTTAATTCATTACGTACAACAACAAATACAACTTTTAAAACTTCAAAAAAAAGAAAAAAAATTATTAAACTACAACAAACGAATTCTTTCCAAAGAGTGACGATTTCTTTTTCACTTACACACTTTTTATAACGTATCATAACGGCGGAACATAATAATAATAATAGTAATAATAATGAAAGTTAATTTAACAAAGAGTTCAATAAAAAAAAAAATTATTATTATTATTTTAAATACTTTTTCGTTCTTTTTTTAATCTAAATTAAAAATTTTTATTGACATTAAATCGCGTGCGTGCTCTTGTGTGTGTGTGTTTGTGTCTGTGTTTGTATGAGTTCGCGACAAACACATAAATAATAAAATGTTTTGCATTAAAAGCGTATTGAAAATTTTAACGTTTAAGTTAAAAAAAAAAAAAATGTTAATTAAGCAAAAAAAAAATTTAGGCGTAACATCACGGAATCGATGATAATGTTATTATCGTGACCGTGAACTCGGTCGGTTAATAATAATTATTGTCCTAAAAACGGGAAGTCTTTTCGGCCATTTTGAAAATTCCTACGGGAAAATTATTTGCAAGGGGATGTAAAGGGAAAGAGAGAGAGAGAGAGAGAGAGAAACAACAAAATGAATGAAATAAAAATGTTTACGGAATTAACTTTTCCATTGAATATGAATTTTATTAAAATTAAATGGTTTTATTAAAAAAGTTATGTACATAATAGTTGAATATGTTGCGTGTATGCGTCCATAACATATACACGAACATGCTAACGAGTATTTTATTTATAATTGAATTAAATTAATATATTTAAATAAAATTTATTTATTATTCCTCGTTTCTACAAAACGTACTTTATTATAACAAAAAATAAATAAATAAATATTTTTATTTTTTTTTATAAGAGGAAAAAATCATTATTATTATTATTATTTTAATTCTGCTGACGTCATCATTATCGAAACGTACATTTTATTTTGACATAAGTTGTATTAAATTAAAATTTAGTTAGTTAGTAAATTTAGTTTTTTATAATAAATAAAATGATTTTAAATAAATTTTTACTTAACGTAAATAAACGTCATTATTGATTGATGATAATAATAAAAAAATGCTTTTAAAATTTTATTAATTTTATTAATAATTAAATAATGTAATAATAAAAAATAATAATAATAATAATAATAACAACATGGCGAAGTGGCTTTTTTATATTTAAAATTACGTTAATTTAAAAAAATAATGTATTTTATTTAAATAATTGAAAATAATGTGTGTGATGAAATTATTTATTAATATTAAAGATCGTAGCGGTAGTAGTGGTGGTGGTGGTAGTAGTGGTAGTCGTCGCCTTAGTCGTTTGACAAAAAAAAAATTAATCCGAGTTTATTATTTTTTTTACCTAAACAAATTAAAATTATGTTGAGTCAGGAATAGTAAATATTATTTGTTAAATAAATATCACGCACTTGCGTCGGTTTTATGAATTTAAGAGAAGTATAAAAAGTAAAGCGGTCAACGTTTGAATCATCATTCGCTCATCTTGTATACTTTAAGTTAAATTAAAGTTTAACAAAAAACAAAAAAACAAAAAAAATGATCGCCAAGACTTTGGTCTTTGTTTGTGCCGCTTTCGGTCTCGTTGCCGGTTCCTGCGTCGAATTCAGAACCCAAAAGGTATGAATGTTAATTTTGAAAAAATTTGTTTTATTTGTGGTAAATTTGAGAAAATGAAAGTGTTAATATTAATTTTCTTGATTGGTTTTTTTTAGCAATCCCCATGCCAACTCGTTTCCGTTGAAGCCACCCCAGTTATGTCCGCCCCAGTTATGTCCGCTCCAGTTATGGCCAACCCAGTCATGACCTCCCCAGTTATGACCGCTCCAGTTATGCCAGCTCAACTCGTTTCCACCCCATCCTGCGCCACCAACCAAGTTTTCGGTAACGACGTTACCGTTGGTCAATTCTCCAACGTTCAATCCGTTGTCGGAAACAACTTTTTCTCCACCGGTTCCGACTCCAACGGTAACAACAACGTTGTTCTTTCCTTTGACGGAAACAACGGTAACAACGTTAACAACGGACTCGTCGGAGTTTTCGGTGAAGGAAACACCAACGGACCAGAAACCGCTCCATTGCCAGTCGTTCAAGCTCCAGATGTCACCCTCCCAACCGTCGAATCTCCAATGGTCACCCTCTCCGCTCCAGCCGTCCCAGCCCCAAGAGTTCTCGCTTCCAGATGCGTCTGCACTAAGACCGTCGTCAAGCCACAAGTTTACCAACGTGTTGTCACCGTTCCAAAGGTCCAACGTTACTTCAAGAGAACCGTCACCCCAGTCGTCGAAAACCTCGTCTACAAATCCAAGCCACTCACTGCTTCCAACAACGACAACGCCAACGCTGTTTCCTCTGGTGCCGTTTCCTCTGGTTCTGGACTCGTCTCTGGATCCGGTCTCGTCTCTGGATCTGGACTCGTCTCTAGATCTGGTTTTGTTAACTCTGGCTCTTCTTCCGTTGTTGTTCCTGGAAACTCCTCTCCAGTTTACTCTACCGGTTCCTCTTCCAACTGCAGAGTTTGCTAAATACGCTAAATACGTTTATTTTTAATCTAACTTATTAAGCATCACACAATCAAAAAAATATTATTTATAAAAATGGAAAAATATTTGACCTAGGTAATCATTCGACAAAAAAAAAACTTCTGATTCTCGTTAAACCATTAATAATTATTACGGTAATAAAATATGTAATAATTATTTAAACATCACATATATCAACGGTCATTAAATATTTAAAATTTTACATTTAAATTATTCATATAAAAAATTTATTTATAAAAATAAAATGCCAACAACATCATTTTATCATTAACTTATGCCTTCTTTTTTTTCTCACTCTCTCACCCCCTCCCCCCCTCTCTCTCTCACCTCTCAAATAATTTTTAAAAACCATCAAAAACGTCAAACGCACTACAACAACATTACAAAAACAAATTTTAATTACAACAAAAAAACGACAGAAAATACAATGACGAATAATAATAATAATAATAATAATTTTATTTATTAAATTAATAACCGCTAATTGGAAAAAAAACTACAAAATCAAACGTAATAATAACTACAACGATTATAGTGCAGAAAAAAACAATTTTTTTTTAATTTATTGATTTAAATGAAAAAAAAATATTTTTTTTTTCATTACAATGATGATAAGAAGTAAATTCGATAACTTTAAACTAAAATAACGTAAATCATATTTTTTCCTTTTTATGACGTCACAAACCGGAAATGGAAAAAGATTTTTTTTTTAAAATTCCGTGAGTAAGATAAAACCAACGAACGAGAGTTAACAATAATAATAATATCGTTGATAAAAAAAAAAAAAAAAACGTTCAAGACGACGTGAAATCAATGTTTTTTTTTCTTCTGCTTTCTCTCTCTTTCTCTCTCTCTCTCTCTCACTTCTTTTGATTTTTTTTTTAACTTATCTTACGACGATATAATATTAATTGAAAGAAAGAAAGAAAAATAATAACATCGATACTACTTCACCGTAACAAATCAAACAAAAAGAAAAAAATTTTTTTTTTTCGCAAAAAAATATCATTATACAAAATAATAATAATAATAATAATGGAGTAAATAAAAACAAACAAACAAACAAAAAAACAATGTACAACGGTAAATGATAATTTCATTTTTTTTTGTAGATGATAATAATAATAATAGTAATAATAATACGACTGAGAAACGTGATATTTAAGGAAACCTTTAATTTTCCCCCGTTTTATTATTAATAATAATAATGATAATAAATTGTACGTTATAAAATGCTAAAATTGACATGTAAAATGTAAGAAAGGTCCGTAATTAATATTCGTTTGTGTTACTTGATTCTTTCCTTTTAATAATAATAATCATTTACAAGAAGTAAATTTACCAAAAAATCTTTTTATTTCCCTTCATTTGTGTCATTTAATATTAAATTTCTTTTCTTTTCCAAAAAATTTCATGTTTATTTTAATGATGGAAATAACCTGGAGAAATATATTTTAATAAACAAAAAGGATTTTTAAAAGAAAAATGGAGGGAAAAAAATAGGAAAAGGATTTTGTTTTTATCGATTGAGTCAAATGTTATGATTGAATTACAAGAATTTGCGAGGATCCTATGGTAAAATAATAATAATTTTGTTTAACAACAGCAATAATTTAAATAAATTGATGGAAACTTGTTCGTGAGTGGTACTACCAACAGGTATCGTAAATCATAAACTGATTGATTACGTCCCAGTCGGTTTAAATTCAAACTTAAACTTGCTAACAAACGTTTGTATAATTCAGAAAGGGTTTCCACACGAAAGAAATTTGTTATGATAAGGATGGAAAGTTTATGATGAAGTTTCCAAATGTTTTATGATTGTATACTTATGGTTATGCGTTGATTAATGTTGTCGTTAAGAATTTATTATGCAATAAACTAAACTTTATGAATGGTATTAATTATTATTATTCTCATTGCAACTTATAAAACAAGAAGAGGTCTTTTACTATCCTAAGATTTAATTTTGACTATCGACGTTTGATGGACCACCAGATGTAGGTTTTAAAACTCGTGTAATTTTTTTATCGAGAAAAGGTATAAATAGGGTATCTGTTCCATTTAAATGGAGAAAACGTGATATTAGAATAAATAAACAAAGTGTCATTAGTTAAGAAAACCCGGAATTGCACTTCAGACAATTCCAAAAAAAAAGGAATGGATATACAAGATTTAGGATGTGGAATCTCACCGGAGAACTTGTTGGAAACAAAACAACATGAATAATTTTTTTTTGTAAAAAAGGTTGTTAGATGCAATCGGTTGTTTTCTTATGAAAAACTCAAATGAATTTGAGTTTGTAGGTTGTTTTGAATGTTTTATTTGAGTGCTTAAATTTTGTTGAAAAATAAGAGTTGGTATAAAATTTTTTGGTGTTGATACCATGGTTGGGTCATATTTGTTTGTTGAGTTACCCTAATATCACTGCATTAAAATCGGGATGGTTGATTACGTGTTTGTTTAATTTGGTTGTTTGTTTAAAAGATAAAAGAATAAAAGAAAAAATAGTTTTTTTGTTGGAAAAAAGAAAAATGATATAGAATAAATAATTAAAATGAAATTCTTTTAATTAGTTTTTATTCATCTTGAAATTTAAAAAAAAAAAAAAACAAAGATGAAACAATTAAGATCATTTTAATTGGATTAAATGATCTTACTTTTTTGTGATTTTTTTTTTTGGTTGAAAATTTTAAAAAAGTTTTAGTGATTGTTCACTTTGGTTTTTTAAAATGGTCGTGGTGGTAATTTAGCAAACTCTGCAGTTGGAAGATCCAGAGACAACAACGGAAGAGCCAGAGTTAACGAGTCCAGATCCGACAACAGCGGCACCAGAACCAGCAACGGCACCAGATCCGACAACGGCACCAGATCCGACAACAGCACCACCGACAACGTTGTTGGAGGCAGTGAGTGGCTTGGACTTGTAGACGAGGTTTTCGACGACTGGGGTGACGGTTCTCTTGAAGTAACGTTGGACCTTTGGAACGGTGACAACACGTTGGTAAACTTGTGGCTTGACGACGGTCTTGGTGCAGACGCATCTGGAAGCAAGAACTCTTGGGGCTGGGACGGCTGGAGCGGAGAGGGTGACCATTGGAGATTCGACGGTTGGGAGGGTGACAGATGGGGCTTGAACGACTGGCAATGGGGCGGTTTCTGGTCCGTTAAGTCCAGCGGCAACAAGAGTTTCAGATCCGGCTCCCATGACTCCAGCTCCCATGACTCCAGCTCCCATGACTCCAGCTCCCATAAGTCCGGCTCCCATGACTCCGGCTCCCATAACTCCGGCGGCTCCCATGTTAAGAGCTTCAGTAACAACTGGAGCAGAGACAACAGCTGGGGCAGAAACAAATTGGGCAGAGACAACTGGGGCAGAGACGACTGGGGCGGAAACAACGGAACCACCGAAGACTGGAGAAGAGACAGCAGATCCAACGAATTCTGGCATAACGACGTTGGTCTGTTGGAAAAACAAAAAAAAATTTTTTTTTTTTAAAAAAAAAACAACGATTTAGAGTAACGTTTTCCATTTTTTTTTTTTTCACACTCGTATTCACTTACTTGAGTTCTGACGCAGGATCCGGCGGCAAGACCGAGAGCGGCCAAGACGACAACCAAAGTTTGACCAATCATTTTTTTTTAATTTTTTTTGTCTCTATGTGTTCTGAGTATTGAACGAAGAGTGAATGATGCCTTTTTTGGTTCATCTCCATGTTTTTATACCAAAATCAATTTCAGTAAATTTTCATAAAACCGTGATTATTTAATCAAAAATATTTATTTCTCAAGTTCGTTTAACTCGGATTTTTTGCTTAAATTGTCCAATTTCCGATATCTTATCTTATCATTTAAATATAGGCTTATCATTTTAGCTGATCTTGCTAAAATTTTCTTTTTAAAACACACACACACACACACTACTTACTACCTGACGAGAATTGAGACTAATTTAATGTTATATGTTTGTTTATGATGCAAAACATCATTGTTTTTAATTTAAAAAAAAAAAAACTTTATAACAATTGACACAATTCGTTTGTAATTTCAATTCAATTTTATCTTTACCTTAGTAAAGACTTAAAAAAAAAAACTTTTTTTTATCATTTCATAGAGTAGTCAAATTAACACTTTCTTTCTTTCTTCTTTTTTCTTTTTTCTTTTTTTATTACTCTAAGAGGTATGTTGTTATAAAATTTTTTTTTGTATTTTAAAAATTACGTTATTGTTTTATTGTAGTCATTATAATTGTCAACTTGGTTGCTTGAATTCCTTCGAAATAATTGTTTATTATTATTATTATTATTATTATTATTATTTTATGAAAGGTTTATTTGAAGGAAGAGTGTGGCACGAGGAGTGTATATACATATTTTAAATTAATTTTTTTTTTTTTGGGGGGCCTTAAAAAAAAAATTAATTTGAAACTTTCAACGACCGAAGTAGGAGGCCACCTTTTTGCTAGGATTACAAATTTTTTTTATTTTATTTAAATTCGACAAAATTGATGTGTGATGATAATAATAATAAAATGAAAAATAATATCGTTGTAAAAGTGTGTGTGTTTGTGCGTATGTTTACGACGCGTTTTTTTTTCTTCCCATTTTTGTTATTATTTGAAAGGTTTCGTTTTTTTTGTTGTTAATTTAGGCTTTTATTTTTTTTTACATAAAAATGATTGACCTTGAAATATATACTATACTTACGACAGTCGCAAAAAAAAAAAAAAATTAGGCTATTAGATTATCGTTTGTTTGGATCGTGAGTTTTCGCCCGTGTGTGTGTGTGTGTGTGTGCGTGCGCGTGTTAAAAATATAATATAACGGAAAATATGTTTTTTTTTTTTTAACAATATTTTTTAGCGCAGGATGTTGTAGTCATGGTAGTAATAAATTTAAAAAATAAATCAGAAGGAAACATTTAATTTTTCCACGGGTTTTTTTAAATTTTGATTATTTGCGCCGCCATATTAATCTACTGCCACGAAATCTACATTTCCTTTTTTTATTATTATTTTTAATTTGTTTATATTTATTTATTGTTTTTTAATTGTTTTATTTGCGACGGATTTTTTAAAATTTATTAAAGAGTTTATAATTATTTCTAACCTTCTTAACATGATTATTACAGTCGACAAGGTTATTAATAAAGAAAAATTTGCGTGACTTTTTGTTAATTTATAAAAAAATATAATATAAAACTCGGTTGTTTGTTTCAAAATTTTCTTAATTAGCCAACAACCCTGAACGTCTTTTTTTTTTTAATTCAAAATAAACAATAATAATGATAATAATAATATTAATAAAATTTTTTAAGGGATTAACAGATTTTACGTTTTTTTTTTTTTTTTTAATAATATTTTGATTTCGTTATCTAAACAAAAAAAAAACGTAAAAAACGTAAAAAAAGGTTGAGAAAAAGGTTGTCGTTTGTTAAAACGATGATAATAATAATAATAATATACAAACGGTAGATTTTTAAAAAATATATATTTAATTAAAAACAAATTTTTTTTTTTTTTTTTTTTTTTTTTTTAACTATTAATGTACTAATCTAAAATAATAACTAAACTAACAATGCAATGATAAAATGTGATTGGCTAACACGAAACTAAATGGTAATTGGTGATGCTTGATATTCAAATAAAAAAAAAAAAAAGAAAACAAAAAAAAGAAAACAAAAAAAAGAAAACAAAAAAAAGAAAAAAGGAAAAAAGAAATGAGGAAAAGAAGAAAACAAGAAAACAAAAAAATAAAGAGAAAAAAAACGATGATATGGAATCAACAAGCGCATGCGCACGGACGAATCGGAAGTGGTGGAGGTGCAGATAGACATTTAGCACCACATGGACATTTTGGTTTAGCTCTATAAGCAATATTTTCAACTACCGGAGTGTAAGTCCTTTTAAGGTATCTCTGAATAGTAGGAACTGTAATGCAACGTTGTATGAGCTGAGGTTTAACCACCGTCTTCGTACACACGCACCTGTGGGCAATGGTTTTCGGACATGGAATTGGAGGAGATGGTAAAGGAATGATGGGTCCCATGATTGTTGGAACCGTCACGGGAGGAGCTTGTATTATGGGTAAAGGTGCGGGTTGAGGTCCGCAATCACAGGGTGGTTCTGCACCCAAGGGTAATGCACCCAATTGCATACCCATTTTTAAAGCCATCATCTGTTGAGTTAACTAAAACGAAAAAAGAATCAAAATATTATTTTACCGCCAAAAAAAATCAATAAAAAAAAAAATTCAAAAAAAAGTTTTCTTACCAAAGGTAACAATTTTGATGCGCAAAGTCCGGCCGAATGACAATCGTTAAATGAAAAAATTAATACGCATGTAACGAAACAAATTTTTGATAACATTTTTGTTGTTGTTGTTGTTGTGGTTGTTGCGTCTGATCAAACCGATTATGATTATATTGATGATGTAATATTGATGCTGAGGTTTTTATACTTTTACAATTAACCTTCGCTATTCTGTGATTCACGTGTCTTCACGCTTAAAACGCCTAATTTTCAATATTTATTAATTTTATTCATCGTAAGTTCAACAATAAGAGAGCATAACGTGTCATCCTCCAATAAACTCCGTTCGATTGTTTTTAAATATTTTATTCGTCGAGTTCAAAAAAAAAAAAATTTTTTTAAACAATTTTTTTTTTCTATTTATTTTTAACATGGAACACTACGCCGTGTATTTTAATAATAATAATAATTATAAATTCCTTTTTTTTAACACCTAAATGTTATTATTATTATTAATAATAATATTTTATATTCATTGACTTCGATTAAAAAAAAAACAAAACAAAATCGAATCATTAGTCATTTAAATATTATTAAATTTCTTTTTCCATTTTTTTTTTCCTTATAATTTTTCGGCATTTTATAGCGTTGTAATTTTGCTATAACTCTCTCTCTTCGTTACGTTATAATATAGGGCTATAATATACACAAAATTTTGATTAATCTATTATTTATTTATTTATTTTTATTAGTTTTTGTATAATTTTACTATAAAGTATTTTTTTTTTAGTTGCGATTCGTTAAACTCTCTCGTATTGATTACTTATTATAATTATTATTATTATCATCTACCTATTATTATTAACATTATCATCATACCACTTTATTCGAAATAAAGTAAAAATTATTATTATAAAGCTTTAATGAAAAAGAAAAAGAAGAGAGGGAGAGAGAGAGAAAGAAAAAACAAAAACAAAGATTAAAAGTTTTTTTTTTTTTTTTTGTTTTTCATTGTATATTATTATTATTATTATTTAAAAACAACGCGTAAAACAAGTTTAAGTTTTTTTTTGTGTGGGAGTGTGTTTGTTTGTTTGTGTTTGTGTACGTAATTAAAAAAAGGTTTTGCGATTTTTTTTCCTTTTTTTTATATTTTCTCTCATAAAAAAAAAGTGAAAAAAAAATAAAAAAAACTTCTTTGACATTGTTTTTAAAGCCTGAAGGTATTTTTTTTAAAATAATTTTTTTTTAAAAAAAGTTTTTCCTTTTTTTTGTTTTATTTAAAAAAAAAAAAAAAAGTTTGACGTTAACCTTACGGGGAGTGGGAGAGGGAGGGGGAAGATGAAGAAACTCAAGTGGGCGTAAATTTAAAAACGAATTAAAAATTAATCGTTTTCTGATTTTTTTTTTTTTTAACTATTTTAATTATTTATAGGGTTAATATAATATAATAATATTTTAACAATATACATTTAAATATATACACGTGTTGATTTTATACTGAATTATAATATAAATAATATTATCATCATCGTTAACACGTGAAAAACGAAAAAAATAAGTAAAAACGAATGATTTACCTTTTGCTTTTTTTTTTCTCGCTACACTTACAAAATAATTTTACCGGGGAAAAAAAAAAATTTTGCGTTTTATTACGTGCGTGAACCTTTAATAAATGCGTAAATGCGTGAGAGACACGTGCGTTTTTTTGTTTTTATGATAAGAAATACGTGATAAAAACTTATTTTTAAATTAATTAATTTAAAAAAATATTTTATATTTTATTTTATTTGTTTTTAATTACTTACGCGAAACGATTTATTATTATTATTTATTATTTAATATTTAATATTATTATTATTTATTATTATTATTATCATTATTTGTTGGGTTAAATACGCGTCAAACGTGCGTAATGCGGTGCGTTAATTGCATGTGGCGATGAAATCGTTGTTATAATTCGATAAAAAAATTTCGTTAAACAAAAAAAGAAAATTTATTTATTTATTTTTAAAAAAACGTATGAATAATAATAATAATGATGATGACGGCGGCATATTTTTTATTTCCGGTAATAATAATTATTATGACGTAAGTAATAAAAAATTACTTCGGTTTGTAAATTTTTATTTTTACGTAATTAAATTACACGGACCGTTAAATTTTTTTCCTTTTTTTTTTTTATAATTTATGGAAAATTTCAATGATGCTTAAGGATTTTTTTTTTTTTTAATTTTTAATTTGTTATAATAATAATAATAAATTCCAGTCGAATTTAAATTAACTTGTTGTTGTTATCGGGGGAGGAGGAAAAAGAGGGGGATCGGAGGGGGAAGAGAAATAAAATAAATAAATAAATTCATTCCCCCTCTCCTCTTATTCTACTCTATATATATATTTTCTCCGTTTGTTTTTTATTAATGCCCTTAAAGTTTACGTTCGACACGGACGGTTAATTTTTAATTATCATTTAATTTGTAGAAGAATTTCAATTGAGAATTAACGATGGAGTAAAATTGGGGGGAGACGGGGTAGGGAGGAGGTGAGGGAGAATTCGATCGATATTTTAACGCCCTTTTTGCGACGATTATAATAATAATAATAATTTTATTTTTATTTTTATTATCGTTTATTTATTTTTCGATTTTTTATATTTTTTTTTATATAAAAATTTTCTTTTTTTCTATTTTATTATTTTTTTTTTTATTTCGACGAAATGCCAAAGGCATCCTTTGAATTTTTTCTTTTTTTCCGATATTTTTTTGTTTTTGTCCTCATCATTACCTTGTATGATTTTTTTTTTACTCTATGCTTTTTAATTCGGTGAAAAAAACAAATAATTTTCCGGGGCTTTTTTTGTTTGTTGTTTTGTTTTTTTTTCGCTTGGGTTAGGTTAGGAATTTTGTTATATTTTTTGTTCATTAATTAAAAAAACGAAATTAATAATAATAATAATGATAATAATAATAACAACGATTATAAATTAAAATTAATTTTATTAGGTTTAATAAAAAATTTTTATAAATAACGCGCGAACGTGAAATATTGCATTCACACATTAGTGTGTTTCCCCTTTATTTATAATTGTTAAAAAAACATTGTTGATTCATCAATTTTAACAACATTATCGGTGTTAATAAAATATATGATTGATTGATTGATTGATTGATTATTAGTAACATTTATATTATTACGTTTGAAAATTTTTTCATTAAACAAAAATTTTTAAGAAATCAAACTTTTTAATTTTTACGTTAAAATAAATTTTTTTTTTAAATAATAAAATACAAACGCGTTCATTTAAAAAACTAACCACCAATGTTTATTTTAAAATTTCTTGTCGTTATCAAAACAAACACACAAAAAACAATAAAAAAAAATATAACATTAATTGTAAATAAAAAAAATATTTAAAAATAAAAAAATAAAGAAAAAATCGTTTCTCGGAAAAAAAAGGAAGAAAAGTATGCTTACGTTCTTACATGTATAATTTGAATTTGCATAATTAATTTTATTCAAGCGTTTTAATCTCGTTATTAACGTAATTTAATTTTTAAATTATTAGCGGAAAATTTTTATATTTTTTTAACTTTTCATTTAATTTATTTTCGATTCAAAATAAAAATAAAAAAAGTTTATTAATATTAATTTTTATTGTTTTTTAATTAATAATTTATTTATTTATTATTTAATAAAACTTATTAATTTTGAATGCATTCATTTAAAAAAAAAAATTAAAACGAATTAATTTTCATTGAATGGAAAAAATAAATTGTTTTATTTATTTTTCTTTTTTATCATCATCATTGTTTCTTTGTTTTTTATTATTATTATTATTATTATCGTTCAATCATTGTGAATTCTCAAAGGAATTTCAAAGGTTTTATTATAAGAAAAATAAATAAATAATAATAATAAATTAATTTTTATTTTATATTAAGAAAAAATGAAACAATTTCATAAATTATTAATTATCAATTGTTTTTTTAAATGAAAATTATAATTATTATTTTCGTGACGTCATTTATTAATTTAAATTTTTTAAAAAACGTTTTTAAAATTTATATAAATTAATTCGTGACGATTGTAGTAAAAATGGCGATCGAATTTGTCACGATAGGTCGAAGGAATGGTTGATGATTGTTACGTAATTGATTGTTTACGTCATAAAAATGGTTGTTTTGTTTGTTGTAATGTTTAGCTTTTGGTTTTTGAAATTATCGTTCGATCGATTTTTTTTTTTAATGAACTTAATAAAAAATTTAGGGGTTTTGTGTAGGGGGTTGTAGTCAATTTTGTCAAAGCAGAAAAAAAAAATATTTTTGATTGTTGTTCGAAAACAAACAAACGGGATTTTTTTTGTTTTAAAGAATTGAAAACAAACAAACGATTTACAAAAAAAAAAAAAAAAAAGTTTTTATTTTAACATTTGCTAATTTGCTACGTATAAAAAAAATAAATAATAAATAAACCTTATAATTACTACTTAATGACTACTAAACTAAATAATTATTTTTTTGTTAATTAATAATTAACAAATTGAAGACACTTGAGGTATCGGAAAACGATTTGGAACTTGAGGTACTGGACTACGAGGAGTTACTGGGGTTGTTAATGGATCTGGAGTGTGTTCTTGTACTGGTGCTGGATTTTGAAAATTGTTCATGTTGGAAGTAAATTGAATTGGTTCGGTGTTAAATGTGGCGGAGATTTCTTGTGGGTTTGGTACGGGTATAGGTAATTGAACTGGTACGGATGAGATTTGTACTTTTTCAGTTATCGGTCTGAAACCTTTTCTGATGAAACGTTGGATTTTTGGTAAAACAACCGGTTGGATGATTGTTGGTTTGATAATTGGTTTTTGAAAGGTGATTCTTTGTGGAATGAAAGTTTGTGGAACGAATTGGGATGAAAGAGGGAAAAATGTTTCTTGTGATCCGGCTTGTCCGAAATTTTGAAGGCATGGTTGTGCTGGTGATGGCGGTGGTGGTGGTGGTGGATGAGAGCATTGGCACGGTGTTACCATGATAGTGTATGGGGCTGATTCGCTAGGGAAAACTGGTCCGTTTTGGAAAATAGGTTCGTTGCGAATGATTTGTGGTGCTCTGATAATGGGTTCCCTACGAATTAGTGGCTCGGTTCTTATGATTTGTTCACTTCTAATTAATGGTTCCGATCTGAATATTGGTTCTCCGCGAAGAAACTGTTCTGCTGGAATTAATTGTTCCGTTTGGATTGGTTGAGAAATAATTTGAGGGGCCGGAATGAAGGATGGTTCTTGCGGTAAAAATGCCGGTTTAATCATCATTGGTTCTCCACCGAAAGTTGGAGAACCTCTAAATATATTTTGCTGGTTCGATTGAGGTTGAGGTTGTTGTTGCTGTTGTTGTTGTTGCTGATGCTGATGCTGGTGCTGATGCTGCTGTTGATGAGATATTTGTTGCTGTTGTGGTGATTGTTGTTGTTGCTGTTGTTGTTGCATGAGTGGTTCATTTTGAAAAATTTGTTCTCTTTTGAAAAGTGAATCAGGAAGCAAACTACCAGGATCTGTTCTATAAATCGTTTCTGGAAATCCTCGTTCCTTTAAATAAAATATAAAATAAAATTATTATTATTATTTTATTTTTTGGAAAAATTTTCAAAATGACAAACGCTGGAAAAATGAAATATAAATTGTATTTACTTATGCGCGCACTTGAACGAAACGACGACTGATTTTTCAAAAAAAATATTTCAAAAGAAAAGAAAAGAAAATTTTTTCCAAAAATTATTCAAAAAAAAAATTTTTAAATATACAAAAAAAATAATAAAAAAGGAAGAAAAGAAAAAAATTTTCCTTTTTTTTTTATTGACTTACGAATTTTATTCGGGAGGAAGTTGAATTGCAAATCAATCCGAAAAAAATAATGGCGGTAAGTTTTCCAACCATTTTCCCGCTTTTTTTGTTTTCTTTACTGACGAAAAAAAAAAAAAACTAATAATATGTATGTATATAAAAAAAGGATTTACTTATTCTTTAGAAACTATTTCAAATGTGTGTGCCTTTCAAAAACAAACCCTTTCTTTTATATGAAAAAAATAACCTTGCCTTATTCCATAAATGTCTTTGATGATAATTTAACAGAAGGATATGATGACGTATCACGTAGTCAAATCATATGATAAAAAACCTTATTATTATTATTTTCGTCGACATTGCCACAATATTGTCCTATTGAAATCCATTTTGAAAAAAAAAAAAAAAATGAAGGATAAATAGAAAAGAATATATTTGGATAGGACTAAAAAAAAGAAAGGTCAAAAACCTTTTTCACGGTTTTGTTTTAATAAAAAAAAAAAAAAAAATTGTCCAGGATCAAAATTGTTTAAAACCTGAAAAATACGTGCCAATATGGTAAACAAATGCATCGCGGTAAACAATGCAATTGTCTTGGTGGTCATTGTAATAATTTCACTCGGATTTGATTCCATCTATATTATTATTATTATTATTATTATTATTTTATATCTGTTTTATTAGATAAATACGTAACATCTTTTCATATGTATATACTTTTTTTTCTTATAATTACGGAAGTTATTTATTATTTATTAATGTGAAAAATTTATCGGAAATGATTTTTAATTTCCTGCTTTTTCAAACGCGTGCATTTATGCATTATTATTATTATTATTATTATTATTATTATTATTATTATTATTATTATTATTATTATCAACAAACAGATTTTTCTAATGCAAAAAGTTTGTTTACTTTTCTCAAGCAGAAGTTTGTTGTTATTTAATTAGTTGTTCGTTATCAGATTTTATATTTTAAATCAATCATGTAAGATTGCAATAAATTTATTTTATAAATGTCTATAAGTTCGATTTCGATAAAAGATTTTTAACTTTTTTCCGCGTATCTTTCTCTCTCTCACTCACCCCCCCTCTCTCTCTCTCTTTCTCATTCATTCAAAACAAATTTTCTCGTCGGTATATATAAAAAAAAAAAATTTTTAATCGCATTTTCTATAAATTTTTTTCAAATTTTTTATTTTTAAAATATTTATTATTGCATAAAAAACCGGAAATTTTATTTGTTTATTTGTTTAAACAAATTGGTAATTGAAAAATTGTTAAATCGAGATTTTGTTTATAAAAAAAAAAAAAAAAACAAAAAAAAAATTTAAACTGGATCATGCCGGAAACTGGAAAATTTTTATCATCATTTCCAACGCAAAATTTTTTTTTTTTTTTTTAAAGTGGAAAAAAGGTTTGGAAAAGTTTAAACAAAATAATAATAATAATAATAATAATAATTTAAAGAAAGAAAATAATTAACTTTTAATGGGTAATAAATTTTATTTAGTTCATCATCATCATCATCAATTACATTTTATAGTTTTATTTATTTTATAGTTCTATAAAATTCTTCTTTTTACGAATAATTAAACATTTAAAAAATAATTAATTTTTATATTCGACTACAATATTAATATTATTATTATTTTCGTTCGGATTATTTTTAAAAGGTTATAAAATAATTGTTTAAAAATCTTTCTTTCCGATTCCGCCATTTTGTTTTTTTTTTATATTTAATTGATGTGAAATAATTAAAAATTTTAAAAAATCTTAGACATGAATTTTAAACGAATAATTCTGAAGAATCAATTTCATATTTAAAAAAAAAAAAGTGGGAGAAGAAAAAAAGGCGTTTCTAAAATTGAAATGAAATGAAATAGACGATCGATACGTGAGTCATTAAAAAAGTTAAGGATTAAAAAAAAAAGTAATAATAATAATAATAATAATAATAATAATAATAATAATAATTTTCTATTGGTTATTTGTAAATATTTGCATTTACATTGACTTTTTTTTTATTAAGTTTTAATTAATTTTTAAATTTGTTTTTTTTTCCATTTTTACTCCTCTTCCAGCCTCAAATCCTTGACTACCCGCCTCCATGACCCTCCTCTTTTACCACCCGACCCCTTAATACCCGCCTCCAACACCTTCCTCTTGCAGGCTCCACCTCCCTCCTTTTATACCACCCAACTCCTTAACACCCGCCTCCATTTCCCTCTTTTTTCACCACCCATCCCCTTAAAACCCGCCTCCACCATTTTCCTCTTCGAACCTCAAATCCCTCAGCCTTTCGTGTCCTTCTCTCTCTCTTTCTCCTCCCTCCCCCCACTTCTTTAAACCGCACCTTAATAGAAAATATCTTTTTTTTTTCTCGCGTCGTGAGTTTTTGATCTCTAGAGGTTCTTTTTAATTTTTTTTTTTTTTTTTTTTTGCTTACGTGTCGTCTGGAAAGTGCAGATTTCCTTTTTTTTTTTTTAATCTGAGAGAAAAAGGCTCAAGCCATTCCGTTAATAAAAATGAAAAAAAGAGAGAGAAAGAGAGAGAGAGTGAGGGAAAATAAAACAAAAGTGAAAAAAAAAATAATATTTTTTAGTTTTAATAAAAAAAAATCAATAAATAATAATTTTTTGACGTAAAACAAAAAAACATCAATTAAATCAAGTCAGACTATATTGATTGTATAAGCGTCAAGATTAATTTTTTTTTTTATTTTTTTGTATAGCTCTATATAAATGTCTATATATATATATATTTCATCTTTAACCTTTTCTTCTTTTTTTTTTTTTTTATAAAATTTTATGTGTTTGTTTATCATGTAATAAAATAAAAACAGAAAAAAAATAGTTTAATGTTTTTTTATAGGAAGAACATAAAAATGATTTGATTGTAATCAATAATATCTTTTGAACGTTATAAGAAAATTTTGATTTACGATTGGGGGTAGCAGCCATTTTTACTACTTTTTTTTTTTCTCTCTGTTTTATCTTTGTTTGTTTTCCATCAAAAGTTTTCTTTTTTTTTTTTTTAACGTTCCAGACGGAAAAAATTAAAAATTACGACAACAAATAAATATTTTGATGTGTTAAAAAATTTTTTTTCGTTTATATATATATAACTAATATTTATAGTTTATATCGATCGTTCGGGAAAATCTATCAAATCGTGTGATAACGTTATCAGTAATTTTTTATCACGGAAATTAAATTGATGTACGATCGACAAATTTAAGTATGATTTTCCCGCCATTTTGCTCATTCCCGAAAAAATTTTTTGGTTCTATGTTCGCAAACAATAATTAATTTTTTTATTTTATTAAAATTTTTTAAATTTCGCGCCTTTTTTTTTTCTTTGAACTGTTAATTATTTTATCAGACGTAATTTGATTATTTAATTAATTAATTAATTTAATAAACGTTTTTTTTTGTTTGTTTTTATTTTAAACGTAATGTAAACAACAAGGTTGTGTGTCGTCTGGTCGAACAATTCAAAAACAAAAAAAAAAAATTATTATTTTACATTTAAAAAATAATAATAATAATTTTTTTTCCTTATTATTATTATTATTAATTATTTGTTTAATTTATTTATCGATAAAAAAAAAAAACTTTTAGCAGACGAAAATTTATTTATCAATAAAAAAAATTTTCTGGTTGGTTTATTTCTACATATAACACGACCTTCTGTCCGTAAAAAAAAAAAAATTTTTTTTTTTTGAAATTAATTCAAACTAAAAACAGTTGGTTGTTTGTTTGTCGTGTTGTTTGTATTTTTTTTTTGTACGATCCGAGTGTGAAATTTTTTTTTTTTTTATTACTTTTACTCCACACGTTTTGTAATTTTTTAAATAATAAATTTAAACGGGTTGAGTATCAGTAACAAAAAAAAAAAAGGATTTTTTTTCGTAATTGATGATAATAATAATAATAATTTTAAAGTATTAGAGATTTTAAATTACTAGAGTAGGTAGGTAAATAAATAAAAATTATTCCTTTTTTTTTTTTTTGGGGAAAACTTTAAAAAGATTTTATCTGGAAAAGTATAGAAAAAAAAAAAAGAAAAAAGTTAGCAAATAAGTTTTACAAAAGAATCGAAAATTTTTTTTTTTTTTTTAATTTCCTTTTGTAATCAAAAGTTTTTTTTTTTTTTTACTCTGTTTTGTTGGTAATTGAGTAAAAAAAAAAAAATTGATTAAAAAAGATTTGTTCAGTTGTTCGATCGATCGATAGATTTTTTTTTTTTTTCCAAGAACCCGATTTGTTATAGTTAATGAAACCCGATTTAAAAAAAAAAAAAATGGCGGATAATATGAAATTAAATTACCTTATGAGTACCGACGATAATTTTACTAACGTGTAACGTAGTATGTCTGGAACCTTCGAGATCAGTGACACGACAAATTCTCAGACAAGTAAGAAAGCAATAAGATATGCATTTATATAATAATAATAATAATAAGACAATAAAAATCCATATTCGGATGAATTATCGTTTTTTTTTTTTATATAGCGCGCTATATTTATTTTTAATTCACGTTTTTTCTCTCCGTCTATGGTTTTTTTTCTCTTTCCCCCCTTTTCCATATTTGAACGGATGAGGGGAAATAATATAATTTGACCGATTGTGTTGTTTAGATGTCGAGCCTTGAGTCGTTCATCTTGAGGGCATTGATGATTTTAAACCCGAATAAATATTTATTTATTTATTTATTTTTTTTTTCGTTTTCAAGGCATCTTTTATAGGCTTTTTAGTTTATTGTACCTGAAATTTTTTTTCAACCTTATAAATCTTAAGGAACCTTATAATATAATTAAGACGAGATTATTTTTATGTATATAAAGGATGAATTTTTCATGTGACAATCGTATTCAAATCATATAACGAGTAATCGAAACACGAAAAAATGAATTTACTATTATTTAAATTAACATTCGTTTTATTTTTCTTTAGTTCTTCTGCTTTTTCTAAAAATATCATTGACGCAGTAAGTATTAGTAGTAGTAGTTGTCCCTTGTTTAAAATTATTATTATTATTATTATTTATTCCAAAAACCGTTATTTGTAATTTATAGTTAAAGACTGATATACAAACGGTCGGTTTAACCAACGATTGCGAACCCTCGACTATTATACCCGTTGTTCAAAACGAACAACGGATACCTACATCGATTGAAAAACCACCTTTTAATATTGCTATGGCACCATTGACGACGACGACACTTCAAACCGGTGGGGGAGGAATAGGAGGAGGAGGAGGATTGGGTATATTGCCGACAATTGGAAATTATAATACGATCCCGAAAGTCGTTGGACACACTTTTCATTTTTTTAAAACTGTTTTGAAACCGCAGGTTTATCGACAAATCGTTACGGTACCGTACATACAAAAATACGCCAGGTATTTTCAGGTTCCCGTCATTGAAACATATCATTACCAACAGGAGGTACCTTTCTGATTGTGCACATAACAAAAATCAAATTTTTATAGACTGTCATTTGTTATTGTTATTATTATTATTCTTGTTAAGTTTTTGTTAACGTTTTTTTTTATATTAAAAAAAAAAATTTTTTTTTTTATTTCCATTTCCGTTATTGTTTTTTTAATTGATAAAATTGCCGGTAGGTTGTGTTACACGTCAATTAAAAACGACCGATTATGTAAATGGAAACCTTATAATTAACAATCCGCTTTATAATTGGATTCTAATTGTTTTTTTTTTTTTTTTTTTTTATTTGTAGTTTTAAGTCGTCTTTTGACGCATTTGTTAAATTTTTTTGTAAAAAAAATAAAAATGTTTATAAATATGTATAAAAAAAAAAATTTTTTTTAAACTTATACGGATTCATAATTCTTATTTAACACTTAATAAAAA